TCACTTTGCTGAGCAAAGAGTTTGCAAAAACTGGTGACACGAAAGTCTTTGTGACACTTCTGCTGAATTGGCAGCAACCCCAAAGGTAAGAGGCACCTTATCTTGACTAACCAGGATTCCTCCCCACTGTCCTCGCTGTCCTTCATTGCACTTTGTACCGTATTAAACCACACTGCATTGTTCTAAGCCAGCCCACCAGGTGCATGAGCACACACGAAAGCTCAGTACACTTACAAGAGATCTACCCCAGAATGTTTACTTGCTACGCACCCACGGTATCTCACCTGCTGTGACATTATGCCACATCTCAGAGGTATTAAAATGAAAGGCTTTTAAAGACAGGCACACCTGCCTATCAAGTGCTAATTATCACAGCTATATTTATTCTTTACCCACAAGCTTGCAAGAACTCAAATTCATGCATAACAGTTAAGGTGTAAATAGGTAAAAAGGTAGAAGTTTGCTTCTAAACCCATCATAACTGTTTTCCAGTAGCCATCAACTCCTTACAATGTTCTAAAAAAAAAAAAAAAAAAAAAAAAAAAAAAAAAAAAAAAAAAAAAAAAAAAAAAGCATTAATGAAACAGTCCTCACATTTCATTCAATTAAAATGATGGCACCTCCAACAGCTTAAAATCCCCGTTCTCCAAGCAGTCTGTGGGATGGCTCTCTCTCCAGCCTATTTTTTGCAAGAAGAAATCTGACTTGTCCTAAACTTAAATTTTCTCCAACTCCCATTTCAGTCGAAATAAGTACTATGAAATAGTGACTGTATTTCAGAAGCATACCAGTAAGAATTATCTCCCCGAGTCACTGGCACCAGGGTTTGGGAACTTACACTTATGTGACACACTGTGATAGACTAGTTTAGCATTTTGTTTATTCCGTCTCCCAAAGAGAAAGGAAACAAGCTGCAATTTCATCGCTAACCTCCTTATCACTGGGCTGGAATGTGGTACAGCATAACCCAGAAGCCTGAGACAGTCACAGTGTCCACAGAGTCCACAGGCAAAACCACTCAAGCTACTGCACAACTGTCCCTGCAAATCAAGGGACAGGACATAGGGAGCAATAACCCTTCCACAAAGCCAACCATAAGCCACATTACCGTTAAGGTGACCACAATATAAATGAATACAAACCCAACTGTTTATTGTTCTGTTACACCTTGTAAGGCAGCCAAGGTTGAGACTGGATAGAAAGGAGCTGTTCTGACATTTAAGAGAGCCCCACAGGAGCAGAAAATCGTTCTTTGTGGCATCCTACCTCCATCTGTTGGGAAGGATACACCAGCTTAGCCTGGTATGTTAAAGATAATTTTATTCAATCTTCAGGAAGTCACATACTTAAAGCTTGTAAAGGAAGCAAGATGAAGTCCCCAGAAAAAGTGTTTACCAGGATTACTCAAAGTTGTTGTCAAGATGCATTTTGCACCATTTACAGCATTAAAGCCTCTCCTCCTCATCACACACATTTCTCCTGTGACAATTAATCACTTTCTTTACTGCAAGCACTGCACTACACAGTCCCTGAGGGAAAGTTCTACAGGACAGTGCTCCAAACCTAAACTTGCTGAAGAAGGGCAGCTGGTACAAAGGGAGCTCTACCTTGGCAGCCTTTCTACGAGCAGAAGAACTGAAATGAAAGAGCAAAGAGGCAAGAGCCATGAGCTAGAAAGGACACCTTAGAGGAGATCACATACCAGAGACAACACTAATCCCAAGAGAAAGTCTCACCATTGCTTGAGTTTTGAAATGACCTCTCGCTCTCAGGTCTCCTCTGTGTTTCTTCATTCCCAGGGGTCTTGCAGGTTGCAGCGGAGCCAGACTGGCGTTTTCTTACACAGTCTTCACCTGCCATTGTTGCCTAGCTAGACCAGAAAAGGATAGCAGGTAATTAATGACAAACTCATTTACTCTTTACATTGTTCAAGAATAAATTTACATAGCCTTCTTTCCACTAAAGTTAGACTTTCTTCCCTCCATTATGAATTCAGAGAAAGGGTAGGGGAAATTAAGCACATGCTTGCATTAGTCCTGTACTGTGGATCGCACTTCCTCTCCCTTACTACAAGTGATAAAGGAACAAAGTAATCAAGAAAGTTCCCCCGTCACTACCAAAGTATCTCCCCACAGCTCCCTCCTTTCCTTACAGACCTTCTAAGTATTTAAAATGGGTTAAGCCTTTGTGAAATCTTAAAAGGCCAAAAAGCCCTTGCAAATGCTTTCCAATAGTCAGTCGGACAGCAAATTTGTCTCCAGAGAGATCTGGCAGGTTTGCTTTGTAGAATCACCCACATTATTTTGGCTGAGCCAAGCCCCTTCCTGTCAAGTTTTCAGTGCTTACTGAAATAGCAGCTTCCTCAATAGACCCTTGTACTCTGCTTTGCCAGACAACGGTTGCACTGCAAACCACGGAAAAACAGGAAGAGAGCCTGGTCTGAACGACACCAGATTCAGGGACACAGGTCACTGCGAGCAGGGAACACCTGAAGCACCACAGCGAGGCTGAAAACAGAAAATTCTCACGGAGAAGAGGGGAAGGGGGTTCTCCTTTAGTCACAAAGTGATGTTCCAGCAGGCGCTCCACAAAATCCAGCTCAAGAAGCTCTCAGAGATGTAGCTACAACCAGGGACAATTTTCAGAGCTGGACTTCCAGAAAATCACACAGGCGTGTATGTAACCACATTTTCAAACTAAGGCTTCTCCTTTTTGATTTTTTTTTTTCCCCACCTTGGCACAAACTCTTAGACAGACATGTGTTTTGTTGCTAGTGAACACAATACATGCACCAGCACCGATGAGCTGTTAGAGACAGTCAAGGAAAATTCATGTACTTGTAGAAAAGCTAGGAAGGCAGAACATAATCATTTAAGGATGGGTTTCCTCAGAATACTGAGGCTGGCACGTCTGCAAAAGGCAAATATGACATGATCAGACATTTTCAGGACTCAGCTTCCAGTGTTCATCCCTCTAGTGGAACAGTCTCCCATTCTCCTTTCAGGCATCGCAGCACATAGGGGAAAAAAAAAAAGCCTTTTGCAACACCAAACAGCAAATCACTAATTCAACCACCAACACCATTTCTTGCAGCACTGCCTCTCTTAGCCCCCTCTGTCTCAAGAGATCACAGCCAGGTCTAGAAGCTATAAAACAAAGGCCTTAAAAATGATAAAGCTCCCAGCTGGCTTTGTACAACATCTGATAGCTCACACTATCATAATTTACATAACGCAAAGAGCATTCACATGAAGAACAGAAAGAACCAGGCAAGAATACAGTAAATCTTCCTACAGTAACTATGCTCACTGGCACAAAAATGCAGCTAGCAGGACACATCCACTTCTACCAGCTCTGTACACAGCCACTGCTGCAACCCTCCTGAATACCCTTCTCACCTTTAAATGCCAGTCACTGTCACGAAGACATTACTCCTTCAGCTGCCAGCCTTCCCACAAGGTCCCCAGTACAGAAATGGCTACATGATGAGAGCAAAGGATCATTTTGCCCACCTGGGGCTTACAACCAGGTGGAGATCCTGGACAGTTCTGCTCTCACACAAGAGAGATGCTCCAAACCCTATCAAAGGATAAGAATGGATCACACTGATCACGCAATAGGGTCTACAGAGCAACAGAGGGGGAATCAAGCTGCCATATGAACTAACAAATTACTCCCTGGGCCACTAGCAGGCCTTCCTGCTCCACTGCTTTCTGATGGAAGTTAAGCCCTTCTTGTGAGCCACACCTGTCCTTAAAGGTGCAGGTTTTCCAGATCTAACAGAGGACCACGAGTTTAACTCTTTCCTCAGTACACTTTTCAGCTTCTTCAAGAGTCGAAGAAGGAACCGCTTCCTCGCCAGTGCAGAGTGGTTAGAGTATCTGACTAAAAGGCTGACAGAAAGGTGATAGAAGAGTTGCAGGATAGTGGAAGGAAAAATCATGTGTGGGGGGAAAAAAAAGTTAAAGCAATTAACATAAGGGGTTATTCAGCTAAGACTGGCTAAGCGATCACAGCAAAGCCTTTTTCACGGGAAGCAAGAACTGTGCCAGGGAAAATGAAAACAAACATTTTCTTAGTCCGGTTTCCATATGAGGTATAACATTACAGTACCTAGGCAACTATCAGCACCTCAGTACATAAAGAGGGCATCAGACTTTCCCTCTAATCTCTGCTAGAGCTAAATCAATCACAACACAATGCCAGGATAACTCCAAGATGTTCACCATCCCCTTCACAAAAGGAAATCGCTCCTCACAATTAGCCATCATTCTGTTCACCCCACTCTGTGCACTTGCAGGATATCTAGAACCACAAATGTGTCCCATTATCAGATTTCCCAGCAGAAACTCCCTGATTTTATAGGCATGACTGCGTTATGGTACTTGTAAAAGGTCTCAGAAACCTTGAGGTTCTCCACCTTCCCTTTCGAAACACTGGTAATTATAAGCATGCCTTAGGAGAAAAGCAACACCCTGTAGAAAGTACATCTTTGCATTTGAAAAGGCTTGGTAGCACAGTGAGGGCATCTTCTACCTCCAATACTACTCACGCTAAATAATAACCTTATCCCAAACGCCTTGCAGATCTCCAAGGCTTTCCTTCGGCCCTTGGGTATAACATTAACTAGCAGACCCGGTGTGCGACATCCTCGGTATCGGCAGAGCTCTTCACGAACCCGGCAGGTACCGAAACAAAGTTAAGGTCAAAAAAAAAACCAAACCCACAACCCCCCAAAAACCTGCAGATAACAATGGAAGCTGCTTAAAGCACTGCCGAGGCTCCGAGCACTCCCGAGACCACAAAGTCAGCTCCCTTCTCCACTAACTCCCTGGAAACAAGCGCGGAAGTGCTCTGCGGCGGTGCCCGCTGCCAGCGACGAGA